CTGGCATTTGCTCTCTGTCTCCATTCAGCCAGTTTGTTGCTGAATTATTCGACAAGGCGCATTCAACTGGCACCACAATTTGCTAAGGGTTTTTTTTTTTTTTTTTTTTTTTTTTTGATATGTGAGCTGGAATGGGTTAACAACAAAGGGATGTGTCGAGTGTGTGGAGGCACATATTAGGTTTATTTTGTATGGTTTTTTGTTGTTGTTAATTTTATAAACTTTACGCAATCCAATGAAAGCTTAAACAGAGCTAATTTTAAATCTTATTTCCAGATATACCCTATATTCAAATGCAATATAACCTACATATAGAGGGTCCCTCTTTGGTTTAAATTTGGACCTTCTCTACAATGTGAACAACTATTTAGTTTTAATACGATATGTATTTTTAAAGATTACAATGTTTCACTTGCAATAATTTGTTGAAATCGCTTAGACTTTGTTTTCTTGGCTCAGCGCATCGAGTGCTGGCTACTTGGCTATTTGGCTTGGCACAAACGTAAACTGAACTTTTGGACAGAATTGCATGGAAAAATTTTACTCACGTACAAAGGAAATTAAATGAAATGAATTTCTGAGCCGTCCTTCAGTTGCTGCTCCTAGTTATCTACATAGCTCGCGTTTGTCTTTTCTCTTTTTTCGCTTTCACGCAGTCGTCGCGGCGGCAGCTGCAACTCGGCAGCGTCCGCGAAATTTATGCTGATCATTCATAATGTCAGATGCGAGTGAACAGCTCAGCGGGCAGAGGTGGCGCGGGAAAGGTAAGGCCTGAGAGGCTCAGGAGCTCTAACGACCGGAAACAGTCAAAATGAATGTGCATAAATTGGGTCAGATCAAGCAACACATGAGAGCTTTCAGTTTAAGTTAAAGCTAGAATGGAATGTGCTGTGCGGGAGCAATAAAAATATATCTTTCAAATTTATTGAGAAAATTTTTAATTCACTCTTTAAATAAAAAACTATTTTTATCAAGCGAAGTCGATAGATATTATATTTATTTTGTTTGTTTGTTGAATACAATATTTCAAATGGTTATTATTTTCGAACTATGTATAAATAATGTTTTGCTAAAATTACACAAATAACGAAATACAAAATATATATATTTTATATATGCATTTTCAGAGCTAAAAAATATAATAAAAGTATCCATAAAAAAATAAAATTAATAAAAAACAAGTAAGAAGGCTCCAGTCGAGACTGCTCGACTAGGAGATACCCTGAACCCTCTAAGCTGATATTCTAATCATTCTGCACTTCTTTTATGCACACATACATACACATGCATTCACACGCACGCATAAGCCTGCGCTCTGCTAACTGCGCAGTAAGCAGCGACTGCGCTTGGGCTGCGCTGCAGTGTGGGCAATATTATGAGAATTTATTTGTTGAATAATTTCTTTTGTAGACATAGGATCTTAATAAAACTTTCAGAGCGTATTCATATGGTGAATATGTGTGTACATTTTAAAGCACAAATCTCTAGTACTTTAAATGCGTTTTTTACAAATTGGGGTCGAAGGGGGCGTGGTATCCAAAATCTGTATATGACAAAATCTTTATATAGATTGTCTTTATATACAACGCAAATTTGAAGACTCCAGGTTTAAAAGTGTTCAAATTAGGCTAAAAAAACAAAATCAATTTTTCGATTATTCTCGATAAAAAAGTTATCGGATGATTTATCGAAAAAATAAAGCAAACTCGTACTGCGTATGGTACACACGAGTATGCATGCCAAATTTCAGCTCTCTAGCTCTTATAACTTCTGAGATCGACGCACTCATACGGACGGACGGACGGACGGACGGACGGACGGACGGACGGACGGACGGACGGACGGACGGACAGACGGACAGGGCTATATCGACTCAGCTCATCGCGCTGATCAAGAATATATATACTTTGTGGGGTCTGCCACGCCTCCTTCTGCCCGTTACATACTTTTTCACAAAACCATTATACCCTGATTTCCCATTTTCAATGGGTTCAGGGTATAAAAAACCTAATGTTAACCAATTTTTAACTTCTGAAGTGATTATTTGAATGCAAATTAGTTAAACTTATTTAATACAAATATGTACAAAAAATTATTTTCTTTTTTATGTTTATTATTCATAAATTTATTTATTTTAATTTGTAAAGATGCTAAAACTCATTTCACAATCATATTGTAAGGCAATTGCTTATTCATACATGCCACAAAAAAAAAAAAAAAAAAAAAAAAAAAAATATATATATATATATATATATCTCTATAAATATCTATTCCGATTTATGTGTATGTAAAACCACTTGGTAGTTGAAATAAATAAATGGGAGGGTTTGCTGGAAAGGTAAATGAAGCAATGGAAGAAAGAAATCAACAACGCAACACAAAAGTCGTGCACAATAAGAAAAGGAAAATCAATTTCCGCTTTCAAAATAATTCCAAAGCCATACAAAGCTGTATGAACCGAGCGCCAAGACGGGGCTGAACTGAGCTGAGCTCTGCTCAGCTTGAACAATGGGCGCGAGCGGGGACGGAGAGCTGACTCAAAATTGAGGTGGAGATTGAAGATAATGGCAGGGGATGGCAGTTGGGCGGTAGGAGGGGACTGAAGAGGGGTCTGAGAAAAAGTTGCCATTATCCTGTGCGCCAGCGAGAGATAAGATATTTGCACAAGAATGGCATTCAGTTGATAAAATCCGATTTGAAAATGAGCGAATGCCTGGCAATGAGCAAGGCACGCGGCAGCGTCGCCCCTATCGAACGGCGGATGGCGGCAAAAGCTGTAGCAAAACAAACTGAGACACAGTCAGAGGCAGAAAGAGTGAGTGTGAGTGTGAGTGTGAGTGAGAGAGAGGGCGGGTGTGTGGGAGTATTAAAGGAGTCTGGCCTCGTCGCTGGCAAGGATAACAATTTTATAAATAAATATTTGTGCGCCCTGCAAAGTTGCCTTCGCTCCTTTGCGTTTCGCTTTTGAACTCAACTATCTGGCGATAAATCATTTGAAGTTGTCGTTCCCTGCAATTGGCCCGGTGACAATCTTTGTACTAAAAAAGGAAAAATAAAACTGAAGAAGGAAAGACATGGCAAGTGAAAAAGAAAAGCCAACAGAAAAAGTGAAAAACAAAAACTCAAGGACACAATCACAATCACCAGCAACTACAGCTGCTGCTGCTGCTACTGCTGCTGCTTTTTACGCACTTTCGCCCGTAAATCTGCGCCGGGCTGTAGTCGAGCGCAAACCGGAAGCGTGTCTTCGTCTGATAGTCCAACGACTTCCGCTGCTGCCGTTTAATGCTTTTTAATGAGTTGCTTCTCCTGCCGCCTCGACTGCCTAGCAGAGGGCAACGGGCAGCGACGACATGCGAACTTAATCGATTTCATTGATGACAGCTTTTCGCATGTGTAAGCCCAAAAATTCCAATCGGCAATCGGAAAATCATTCAGTTATGTATGAAACACTTTAAAGGATTCTTGGAAGTCACCTTATTAGTTTAATTTAATAGAATTTCTTGAAATGCCTTCTTTTTTGATTTTAAAAATGTATTATAAAATAATTGAATTTCTATTTAGCTGTTACTTTTTTGAAGCTTCAATATATGCCGATCGCTTATGGCTTGCCCAAAATGCTGCTGAGCCTCATCGATTTTGTTTAAGAATATCGATAGCTATATCTATTTATTATTATTTATGAATATTACTTATTAATTACGGTATCAAAACTCAATTTTAAAATTATATATCCTTCATCTTTGAAGCTTTTCATATATACATTTTTGCTTTAATTTTAATTTATTTTCTCATCTATACTGTTGTTAGCAATCATTATATTTTATATAATGTACAGTTTATTTATTTTTTTTTTTTTTATGTACATGTTATTAATAGTGAACTTATTATAATATTAGTTTTCTATTTAGTAGTTGTTGATTTTATACTTATATTTAAATATTATTATTATCAGTATTAACAGCCACTGGGAAAGGACAAGCAACAGCATCAAAGAGCTAGTTCCTAAGCTAAAGCCAAGTTGATATTGACTTTTGGAACAGTCACATATGTATTTTTTTTTTTTTTTATGCGTCTGAGCCGATTGATGATTTTTGCAATCGCCTTTGCCTTTGCTTTGATTTTTCTCTTCAATTTTTTTTTGTGTGATGTGTCTTGGTGCATTGTGTCCAAATCGGTTTTAGACGACAGTTTAGAATTCGATTGGTTGGCCTGATTACTTATGCCGGTCAGGTAAATCTTGTAGAAATGCCCCTCTCACTCTCTCTCTCCCTAGCACGGTCTGTCTATCTCTCTTTCTCTCTGAGTATTCTCAGCTGCTTTTCGTTTTTGTCAATGTTGATTGACTCGATTTGTTGCTGGCGTCGCCTTAAAGTACTTGGATGGAACTTTAATTTGTTTTTTCCTTCGGTCAGATTTGTCTTTCTTTTGGTCAGAGCGAGAGAGGGATAGAGGGAGGGAGATAGAGAGTGCCATGGCGGGCGGAGTTCTTTAGCCCGCGGCGCTTGGCTTTCCGCGTGCCGTGCATTGATAAATGAGCGCGCTGCAAAGGTCGTTGCCAGGGTCGCGGCTTCTTATTCTTTCCTTATTTTTTGGGCTCTCCTCTACATTTTATTATTTGTTTATGCGCTGACTGTCCGCTGCTTTGACCTATTGAAAACTTCCCCCTCTTTCTCTCTCTCTGCTGGCCATACCCGGAAGATAAACAAGTAGCCGCAAATGGCTGGTCCAAAGTCGATGGCTGCTAACAAATTGTGGGCAATATTTTTGTTTCATCAACAGTGTCCTTGTCGTGCTGCTGTTGCTCCTGCTTGGGGCCGTTACCAAGTTTATTGCATTATTGAAAAACTTGTCCAAATATTTTGAATGTGTAGAAAAGCTTTTTGCTCTTATTAAATTCACAGCCCGCTCTCACGTCGCACTTCATTTAATTGTATCGAAATATGTATATACATATACAGGGCTCTAAAAATGTTCGAGAATTTTAAGATGTGGCTTACCTTAGTTGTTGGCTGCTGTAACTGCAGTTGGGGCAGCTTTGCCCACTCTTTGGTTTCATCCAATTTGTTGTCATCTTTACACATGATTTTATTAATTCATTTTCCCATAGTTTTCACATGGTAGTGAAAACTTTATGATTTTACAGGCAAGCAAAATAAATGTACATTTTGTTTTATATAATTCTGTTTTTTTTTTGTCTGCACTTCATTCACAAGGCAGCAAATCAATTTTAATCAAGCGAATTCTTTCGAAGTTTAATTAAATTTCACTATACATAATTCTCGATAGTTTTGCACTTTAATTTCCCTCACTGTGGGTGTGTGTGTGAAGGCTTCTTTTCATCAAACATATATGAGCTGAAAAGAAAAGTTAAATATTTGCAATTAATATCACTTTGTCAGGCATTTCATTATTAAGGCACAAAGAAGTAACTGATATTTATTCATTTACATTTCAGCATGATTCGAGCGCCTTACGCATTATTTTTTTGCGACAGCAATATTATTTATCTTTTCAACCGTATCAAAGCACGTGTAAGATGACTGGCAGAGCTCAGAAAATTCATTTAGATAAAGCACAATATTTAAATGCTGCGTATCATATTTTGAGGCGATAAATTTGAATATAGAGAAGAATAAAATACATAAAATATAAATAAATATATACAATATGCCTAAAATTGATTTAAATTTAAGCTTGGATTTCACTCGAACAGTCTCGATAGGATAACATTTAGATTTCAATGACTTCGTTTTGCTTTCATTCCACACGCTTTTAGAAGCAGTCAAAATTCAGTACAAATTTTAAAAAATAAACATTGTATATATTTATAACAATTTTATTTATTCATTTTATTTCTTATTTTATTTTTATTTATATATTTTAAAGATTTTTCAAATTCGACGTTTACATATAAGCCCTAAGGAACTTTTATATCATTTTATTTATTTATTTACTGTTTTATGTATTTTTTTTTTTTTTTTTTTTTTTACATCTCCGTGTATTTTCAATGAATTGCGAATTAAAATTGATTTTGATTGAAATTAAAATTGATTTGGAATTAGATTTACAATCAGCTTCGATCACTTCATAGGCAACCTCAGGCGCTATTTATCTGCATAACTGACTCATCCATATTCAGTGAACTGCCTTGTTCAAATTACATTTATTTAGCCTTAAGCTCACACTTTCTGATGATTCTGGAGCACGGCACACAATTTGCCTGGCAGTTGTTCCGCTCAAGGCGTCCCATGCTGCGTATGGGCAATTTGTATGCCATACAAATGTATTATTTATATGTACATATATACCATAGCATATGAATGAACTGTATTATTTTTATGCAGCATGCAAATATAAAAACGGAAACGTGGCTAATTTCCAACGTCTCCAAATGAAATCAATGACAGCTGTCAACGCATCGCCCCCCGCGCCCCTCCACCCAGAAGTTAAAATGATAAATAATAGAAAAATGCGCATAGAAATTTGCTGTGGGTTAGGCTGTTAGGCGGGGTGATAAATGTGCGTGACAAGCGCCTAACTCTTAGGCTTTTGGCCTACTAATGTGTGTGTGTGTGTGTGCAGTGCGTGAATACAAGTCGATTTTAAAATGTGTGCGCTTGTGTCTGTTGTATTATTGAATACGACATTTATATGCCACCACAGGCCACATGCGCATTTTCACATAATAGATACAGCGCACACACGCACACACACATGCACACATGCACACATACATACGGCTATAGATACAGATACAAATGCGCTGCCATTTGGCCTAGCGACTGTCAGGCGCACGCATTTTGGCGGTTGACATTGTGACAAAAGCCGAATAAAAACATTGCAGCGCACAATCGACAGCCAATAGATGCATATACACACATACATATATGTATAGTATACTCGCTTTGTTGGCCAAATGAGCCGAAAACTTTTCACTAATTAGCTGCAATTTCAATTAAGCGCATATAAGACCAAACAAACACGATCTAGTGAAAAGGACAAACAAAAATTGCAATTGCTCTGAAATAAAACCAAAATTTTTCAATTTCTCCATCAACTTTAAAGGAGCTTAGCTTTTATCAATGGCATACCAAATAAATCAAACAAGTATATATATAAATCCATATTAACAACAAATGGTAAATAAAAATGCAATATATTTCAATTTGTGACATTGAACAAATACGAGTTGTATTAATTTGTAAGTTGCAACTGCAAGATACCCTGTATATTTCAAAAAGTTGTGCACAAAATAAATTACTGTAATACATATTAATGAATGTGAGCAGAAAGAAGCGCCTGAAAAGGGTCTTCAAACAAGATGATGCTATGATTGAGTAGATGAATGATGCAGCGGGAGATGAGGCAGAAAAGATTGGAAAAACGAAGTCAAGAATGTCTAATGGGGACTATTTTGTTATTCAGGAATACTTGTATGATAACAACATTCAACTCGTCATACTTTTTGAGTACACCTCGCATATACTAATATACACCACTCGGCAATACTTTGCGGATTTTGATAGCGAGGTATTTATGCAACGCATTACTTAGTGGAAATCGAATAGCTGCTGCCCACAAAATAATTACCTCACATAATTTACTACAAAAGAGTATTAGACATGGTATATATATACACACACACACTAACACACACACTCATGGAACAGCTGGCGGTGGGCGAATAGCAACAAAAACGAAAAGTGGAACGAAAAATAAATTAGAATTTTTGTTTAATTGGAAATTTGATGCGAAATAACAAAAATGTTTTCACTTGTTCATTGTTGTTGCTGCTGTTGTATTTTAATATTGCTGCTGTTGCTGTTGTTGTTATTTTTGTTGGTGTTCGCTGGCCCGCTCGTTCGCTTTTCTCCAGCGCTGACATTGCGCAAATTGAGCTTTTCTCATCATATTAAATTTCATCAATATGTACCTATTATTTTCATTTTTAGCATCATTATTTCTGAACATGAAATATGGCATAAAATACTGTAATATCAACACAGCACTCAGCGTTTCAGTGTTCCCCGCTAGACAATTACAATTGCAATTTATGCGGAATTCTATGGGGAATATGGCACACGGTTTTTACTTTTGTGTTGCGTTGAGCGAAAAATGTAACTGAGACCGAACTGCCAATTAGAAAAATATACATTGATATTGTACTAGCTGGTAGAGGAGGAAGTTTTAAATTTTAAAGAAATATGCACATGGTTTATGGTGGAGCGAATAAATTGTGTAAAATTCAAATTGTCTAAAATTGTGATTATGGAGTTTAATACAGTTAGTTAGAGTTAATTAATTTGTTTTTTTAAATCATTAAATCATTACAGTTGTAATGAAGGCAATGTAGTTATGATTGATTGTCATGTAAGTAAAGGAACGAATGACTTAGAAAAATGTTAGTGCATGGGCTTAAAAGAATATTATGAGTGGAATGCATAAATTCAAATGATGAGATGCTATGGAAGATTTTTTTTTTTAGGGCCATTATTATCAAACTTTTTATAGAAGTATAAATTTGTAATGAAAATTATAATATTTATTTTATAATATATTATTATGTATTTATTTTATATCTATACTCTTCAAAACCTCTTCACGTCCAAATTGCAAAAAATAACCTTTTTATATTCACACTTTTTCCGCTTTAGAAAATTTACATGCAATTACGTATATGTAAATGTCATAATCACGCACTGAAAAATTATTGTTCAATAGGAAAAAGTGTATCTAGATAAATTATTCAACAATTCCCATAGCAAATCCCACTCACGCTGCCCAAGCGTACGTAAACAGCGCAGTAAGCAGAGATTCTGCTTATGTGTGGGTGACTGTGTAGGTAATACACAAAAAGCGAAGCTTAGAATGGAGAAGAGCTCTGCATAGGGCGCAGCAGCTCTCCTAATCGGGCACCCCGACCTGAGCTCTCTTAATTGTGGTATCAGCTTCCACTCGTTGCTTCGCAGCAAAAGTCTTTATGCTTTTCAATACTTATTAAAAAAAAAAAATGTTTTATCTCTTATATGAATTGTACTTGTATACACACATATTTCTGTTGAATATGGATTTATTCTTACCTATTTTAAAAAAATATATTTTCATAAATGTGGAAAAACAGAAATATATATAAATATATTGAAATTGGATAGACAAATTTAAAGACGTTTTCCTATTTTCTCTTGCCGCAAAAGCAACAACAACATGCGTATTTTTCATTATCCTGCAAGCTAAGCAGTAAATGTATTTTTAAATGAGGTTCTGTCTGGCAGTATAAATCATAAATTCAGGCGAAGCCTGCAGGCTTTGAGTGCAAAATGTTGTTGGCTAGCCCAAATAACAACAAAAGTGTATTTCATATAAGTAATATATACATATTGTTGCTATGCATTTGTGGGCTTATTTAAATAAATTGTAGCTTAAATGTGAAGAAATATGAACTATGCCTTAGAAGTTTTTTAATTGGTAATCACAAAAATTTCAAATGCTGCAGAAACGTATGAGCAGCTTAAGCAAAAATAAGAAAAATACTTAAAATTTTCGGCACACCATTAACGTGGCCATAAAGTTTGTTAGTTGATATAAGCCAGAATCAAATAAATTCAACGCATTTCAGCCCTTGGCTGTGCATCCTCTAGCGCCATTTTGGTTCATTGTGAATGGCGAAAAAGTTGAAACGCATTTCCGACCGCGCCCCCTCGCCATCCACCACCCGCTTCGCCTGATGTGTGGCGCATTATTAACGCACATAAAACTCGCATATAAAGTGATTTAAATTTATTAAATATAAAAACGCGCGCTGCAGCAAAGATGCGCGCATAACAATTGCAATAAAATTTAACGTGCATCAATAAAAATATAAAATCCAATAAAAGCAACAACAAAGCAACATCGATCTCACGCATACGAACAGTCAGGCCGAGCAGAGCGGAGAGCGAGAGAACTTCATTACTTGTTTGAATGGAAATCGAAAAAATACCAAAAAAAAAAAAAGATATACAAAATAATGGAAAAACGCACAATAGAGCCCGTCAATGGACACTGTGGTCCCGTGGCGGCGGCCCGAAGGGGGTTGGCTTTATTTATGCCACACAAATGAAGCGTATGAGTCGAGTCGAGTCGAGTTGAGTTGAGGCATCAACAAAAGCTCGCGTTAAATGTTTTACGTTTATTTAAGAGCTTGTCTTTATATAATGCACTCGCCGCACTCATGAATAATAATTATCATTTTTCAATTTCGAGCAACATTTTCTCGCTTTGAATATCAGAAATCAACTTGACTGACAAATTGCTCTTTTAATTGAAGCACACACAACTCTTTGCGCAATTGCGTGTTCGAGTTGAGCCTTTTATT